TGAAAATATCAGCTAACGAAATGAAATATTATCAGAGTTTTCTCTGTTAGAATTCTCAATAATTGTCTTTGAGCAGATATGAATTTAAAAACAAAATAATAGAGTAAAAGTCATTGAGAATATCGTCTTTGTTCCAGCTGTGCAAATAAAAGAAGAAATTAATTTACAAAGGTATTGAGTGAAAAGAAAACATACTATTTTTGCTTTTGTTCACTGCCATCAGAATAAGAAACAGAATGAGTTAAAGTGTCTTACTAAAGTATGCTTAAAATATTCGTTCGACTACAGTTAGTAACAGATATTTCATGTTTCAATTTCATACAGCACCAAGACGTTTTTCTCATACAAAGACAAGTCTATATTTTCTAACTGCGTCCATCACAAAATGGGCAATCAGGCGAATATTAGGCAAAAAACGAAAGTGAGATTTTTTCGAGATTCAAATACTGTGATATATACACTATTCGATGGACGATTTAATTGTGGAAAAAATTTGATCCAAATGTTCAAGATGACGGAGAAAGGTAAGCTTTAATTTTGGGTGGCTTTTGTGGCACTTTCAGAAAAAGTACTTTCCTGTTTTAGAACGCAAACGTATTAAAAATTGAAATGCATATATTCTGAAAGCTGAGACTTTGGCCTATCGATTCGTAAAAAGAGTTTTTTATTTGTGTCTTTCCTGACTTGGAAAAATTGATTTTTCACGCTGCTAGGAGCTTTCCCAAAACACCTGTCCAGTACAGTGGGCACCCCCACGAGCCCCAAGCTCTATTTGACCTGAAACTTTTAATAATTAATTTCCATCTCAAACAACATAAACTTGTTTGTAAAAATTTCTGCGATAGCTGTTTTTCTCTGTCTCCGTCAATAAAGGTTGTTGAAAATCCAAAGCACTATCTCTTGGAATGTCCAAAGTACGATCGAGCTCGAGCAATTCTGGCTATTCAGCTGGGTAATCTAGGTCTTAGTTTAGATATTGATACACTTTTACTTAGAACACATTTATCCAGTGATCTCTTGCTATCTGTGTGTCAGTTTGCGAGTGATTTTATTACTGCCAGTAAGCGTTTCTAACAGACTACGTCCTCTACTTTTTCACTTTTACAGATTTAACTGATCCACTCCCTTGTTTCTAAAACGCCAATATTAGGTGCTTTTCTCCTATTGACACAGTTTCCTTCACCTATTTTTATTGCTCTCACTTTATGTTCTTTTCTTCTTTCTCTAAGTCCAACGTTTTTCTTTTCTTTTCGTCCATTTTTATTTTATGATGATGTTATGTTTAAGGATTCCTCTCAGGAGATACAGTGTAGTCCTTAGGAGAACGATTTCACTTGTTTGATCTTCTTTTCTTGTTTTTTTTTTTTTTGATTTCTTTAAATAAAAAGCTTAAACTAACTTTTAATAAATATTCTTCAACATTTGTTGGAACGACTCATACTAGCCCATTTATGCCCAAATGGTTTTCCACTGAGAACAAGATTAGAAAAAATCAGGTTTTTAAAAGGTTTTCACAGTTTTTTTCATCACTATAATACTCTAACAAAAAAGTAATAACAGATTCGGAATCATCGTGAATAACTGCATCTAATGATGTGTCTTTTAACCAGTTTCAACGAAAGTTCCAAAAACAGAGTTTTTCCAATATTTTCCTCTAAAGTTTGAGCTGAAGTGTTTTGCAGTAATCTGCGAGTGTTCAAAAATTGTGAAAACCCGTTTTCTCTAGGTTTTCGACCATGGCGAATCTGTTGGTGGCATTTAAAAATTTTCATAATGATTTTTTGGGGGGTTTTCAGAGTTCAGATCTCTAGAAAACCCCCCAAAATCCGGACTTTTGGAAATTTTCTGGTCTTATAAGAAAGAGCATGCAAGAAAACCTACCGAGGCTTTGTTTTGAGTCAAGTAAAACTGAGTTAAACCAAATGTCCGGCTGCCTATGGAAAATTGCCCCCTGTGCATCAACACTCGGTTCTTAAATGTCTGTTAGATTAAATTCGAATGCTAGAAACTACTACCGGTTCCAAAATACAAAAGCAGTGATTATTTTCTGAATAATTTAGCATTAAATAAAGATAGAGACTTGCGCTTTTTACCACTCGATAGCCAAGACTCGAGGCAATCTTTCTACAAGCAAAACTCATTTTCGGAAAAGTTTTCAAAGCTGGATTTTCAGAGGATCTTTGAAAAACTAGCTTGGATTTTCCGAAATTCAAATAGGAATCTATTAATTTTTTTTTGAGAGCATAATCAAAAATGAGTTATTTCCCTAATATAGGTTTTACTCGGTCAACAAATTAGAGATTAATGTTACCAATTTATGCGATTCATTAAAACGAATATAAAATTGGAAATACTTTATTGTAGAAATAATGCTATAATAGATTGCAGTAATAAAATCTTAGAATTAAAAATAAAAAATGTTCCAGAGTTTTGGTTTTTTAGTTATAGACCCAGAATGGTGATTTGCTGTCTGTTTCATCTCGAATATACACCATTACGTTTAATCGAATACACATCGATTTTATACGTCGTCGTACGCCGTTCCATTCCATTTGAGTAATTTGTTGATCATTAACAAAATCCATTGACTCTGTGTATTATCGAACAAATGCCATCTAATGACCAGATGTACCTAATAGAACACATATATATATACTCTTGTTTTCATAAACTGATAAAATTTACTTTTAATTTACTTTTAAATTTACTTTTAAGTAAACGAGTCAGATTTAATCTACCCCAGTATTCATCGGAAAAACAAATTAAAAAATTGACTAATTCTAACATAGACACGAGCACGATCTGATGTACTACTATTTGTACGCGTGTGACAATACACAGGTCTCTGTTTTACGATTATTGATTGAAATGCTTATTTTTCATCCAGAGCACCCAGCAACTAATTTTTCGAATAATTTATCAAATTTTAGTCGAATTTATATCCCGATCGAGAAATAGGCGGTAACGTTTTATTGCTCATAATGGGATATACTCTTGATCTAATCGCTTTCCACGCCGACCGTCTTTCTCCCTTTTCGATGCACACATATATTGAAACACACATTTCCTTTCTCATGTGTCGACAATATATAAGTACACATGCTTTGTATTTAACGGTGAATTTTCCAACTACTTATTCATGCAGATAAACTGCCTTATAGTTTTTGTAAGTGAATTACAACTTGCTTACAACTCATTTATACTCATATTACCTGGTATGGCAACATCCCTTTCAAGCTAATTAGATCTGATGACAGACATGTTAATGTGAAAGTTTGAAATTACACTAACCAACAAAAATGTTTTGATAGTCTGATCGGGATATAGATTTTTTTAATATCTCAATCGGGATATCGAATTATATGCTGGTCAAGATATAATTTCAAAGTATATCCCGTTCGAGATGTTAAAAGAATTTTGCTGTAAATAAAGATATCCAGATCGGGATATATATCCCGATTGGGTCGTATACTCGAATAGCAGCTATGGCTGAATGGTTCTGTTGTTCGGCACGTATTTCAAAGGGACCGTGTTCGAGCCTCGGCGCCACCCAGTTATAGAATAATCTTGGACAAGTTACTAATAGCTATTGTCTCGGATCACCCGTCCGATAGCATGCTCACTACACTGTGACATACACCGGTACTTCGGTGCTAGTATGTGATTAGTGAGTGTGTATGGAGAGCTCAAGCAATTGGACGAAAAGAACTCTGTGTCAGGCTGACCTTCTGTTCAGAGCTACAGCTTGCTTGGTGACTAGTAGAAGAACGGGTGACCGTCTCTGAAGATCATCAGCTATCGGGCTTATCGAAACTGCTTCGGCAGCACCCCACACCGCAAGGTAGCCGCAAGGCGGGGTATTCTTCCTTCTTCCTTCCATACCTGATCGGGATATATCTCCACACCGCTAGGTCATTTTTTCACTATGAATTTTCTTAAGATTAATATGTGCACAAATAATTATTTTACAGAAAAAGACAATCAAAATAAAGAAATACATTTATTGTTCGGGAAAATGATCACTTTCATTTTTTCTGAATGTTTCCGTCATTGTCTGTATCATTAATGTAAAAGAATGGACAGAATTGAACTATCTTCTTCATGTCAGAGTATAGCTTTCCAAGTTTTTATCAGTTTCTCCATGAAAAGGAAGGGATTCTGAGGCGGAAATCTTTTGCATTTTCCAGTCATTTCTTTTTTACGAAAATGCATTGTAATAGCGCCTGAAAAAGCGGAAGATGCACATCCTCCAAATAATTAAAAAACTGTTTCATTTTTAATTCTATCTTTTTCTCTATTGATTTTATACCATCAAAAAAAAGAAGTTTTTGCAAAAACACATCATTCGATTCAGTTTTCGACGCTAATCATGAGCATGGGCTTGGTTTTGCTTCAAAGCACTTTATTCATAAAGAAAAATACAAAAGAAAGTTATATCTACTTTCTGTTTTGAGAAAGTAAAAACTTTCCTTTTCCAAAAGAAAGGAAAGTCACTTTTTACTTTTCTTTTTTATAGGAAAGAAACGAGAAAGTGCCACCCCTAGTCTTGCTTGATTCTCATTTTTTTATTACACGATGCTATAAATTTATCTTTTTTCTCGTAGATTTACACAATTCTGTCTTGACCTCAAACCGATAAACATCGATCATGTGTCTATCGATCGTATTCAAATAACACCCACTTTGTTTTATACTCAGATATAATCATATTACGCATTTTACTTTTTTTGATTTTGATTAATCAGTGAGTCATTTCGTTACTATTTTCATCGATAAGTAAAATGTTTTTCTATGAAAATAGCGAAAAGAATGCCCATCATTTGTGAAACAAAGAAGAAAGTAAGAAAAAAACATATCTAAGACCTATGGTTGCTTTTACCTGTAAACACCTCTCATCTTTTTTTATCTGAATGTACTTTATACATCGATATATAGGACTAAATCATGTAAATGTAAAAAATTGCTAATTTTCCAAGTGACGATTTTATGCATTATATCCCATGATGAGTCGTCACAATACGCCGCATGGTCGTAAACATAAGAGCAATAGTCGTATACATCATCGAAAAAATTTAAATGAACCTCATTTAGATTTAGTTTCTCAAAAATCCTTTCATCGTAGCCATCAATCTCGTCATCGAAATATAACTGTTTGCGATGGTTGTCATAGACCATACATTGACTCATTTTACTATCAATGCGAAGAATGTCAGGATTATGAATTATGTTATTTTTGTGCACATCAAAATGTTACAACAGGATTTCATACGATCGATCATCGAATGTTACTTTTATCAAATAAAACTATGCCAATAATTGACATTCATGAATTAGAATTTGGTAAAGAATTAGGTCATGGTGCATTTGGTATCGCTTATAAAGCATATTGGCCATCACGAAAACTTACCGTAGCATGTAAAGTCATTACAGTACCAGTCGATATATTTACACATACAAGAGAAAAAAGTTTTTTTAAAGAAGTTGCTGCTTATTCTCAATTAGTCGATCCAAATATCTTAAAAATATACGGTTATTCACAAAGATTACTTGAAAACGGTACTAGAGAATATGTACTAGTAATGGAATTTATGGATAAAGGAAGTTTAAATTCATTATTATATAAAACTAAAGAAAAATTATCATTAAGAAAAAAATTATCATTAGCTTGTGATGTCGCATCGGGCATGAAAAAAATACACGATTATCGAATGATACATAGAGATATTAGACCAGATAATATACTAGTTAAAGAGAATTATACTGCTAAAATAGGTGATATGGGTATTGCTCGTGCAATGGATTCAAATCAGCCGCTTACAGTTATCGGTTGTATACCTTATATGCCATTAGAATTTTATACAGGTACGTATGATCAAAAATTAGATATATTTACATTTGGTCTTACGTTAAATGAATTATTTACAGAAATTTCACATAATAATAAGAACAGAAGAATTTCAATTACGAAACAAAGTCCAGTATTTCGGCACTTAATTGCAGAGTGTATAAACGATGATCCAAAAAGACGGCCAATAGCAAACAATATTGTAATAAGATTACAACGATTCAGAAATGCTTTAAATAAATTAATTAAACGAACTAAAGAATATCCGGCTTTATCAGAAGAAAGGAAAAATCAAATATTGATAGACTTGTATAAAAAGACACATTGGTAAGAGTATACAAGCACTCATTTGTCTTTGGAAAAAGACATTCGGAAAATGTACGACGAAAAACAACCGTAGAAATTTCTTTCAGTTTTTCGACATGGTTTCCCAAGACAAGTTTTCTATTCTTTCTTTTAGCATCCTGATTTTTAGGTGTGGTTTTATCAGTTTAACCCTTTTATTCTACTTTTATTGTCTCGGTTTTTTTCGTACATGTGTGTTTGAATTCACAGCGCTAGTTTATCGAAATGTATTAAATGAAAAGTTCTTTTTAATTACTAAATCATTTTAAAGTTTTCAAAAGCATCGTACGTAAGCCTTCTAATCTACATAGAACGTGCACTTAAAAATGTCAGCAATACAATCTCAATGTATTTAAAAACAAGCAGAGCGACGAATAACGGGATTAAGCGTCATCTAGCGGTGTTTAGTATTGTTTATGAGCAGAACGGATAATATGTATGCATAATTTAAACATAAAATACACAAGGTAACGCTCGTCTACACTCGCTCAGTCCCTTAGAGTTTAGGAACTTATATTTGCGAACGGCGGTCGACGTTCGCAGCTAGTATTGCTAAGAAACGCTGTGAACTTCTCAGATTCCACGGAAAAAGCGTTCTGTGTAGTATAAGGCTAAAAGTTTTTCTGGAGACCATCTGCAGATTCCAAGAGGGGTGGAAGTGTTTCCGACCGATTCGTCATGATAAATTTATCTATACTCTGTACGGTTTATTAATCTATAAACGACTTTTTTGTGTTATCAGAACTGACTGATTTCTGGCGATATCTATCGCCCCACTACCATAAGAGTTTGCTTAGCTTTTTTTCTCTCTGCAGCAGTAAGTATTATTTTAGCCATCTCTTTCAATATTTTCTCTCTTGTGTAAAAAACAATTTTCCATTTTTCCTTCTTGTGATTGGCTTATCCATGGACTATCCAACGGCCATTTTTCCATATTTTGCACCTAGACACACGCACAGACAAACATTTTGTAAAAGAATATTTGTAAAATATGCTCACAGTCACTAACAGTCCCGATTTGAAACCTGATACAGTCATTCGATAGATCTCGCCAAGTTGATTATACTAATATCAGATAATATTCAGATGGATACTCAATAACGCCTATTAACAGTCGAAACATAGTCACAAACACCCCTAAAGACGTCAGGACCTCTTCAGCTTTATAATTAAGTAAATATGCCTAATCCCACACCGAGAGTCAGCTTTTAGCTCATGTCGCTTTAGGGATATTTGTGGCTATATTTCGGCTGTTAGTAGCCATTATTGAGTATCCATTTGAATATTATTCGATAGTAGTATATTCAGTTCGGCGAGATCTATCAGATGACTGCATCAGGTTTCTAAGGTGGACTGTTAGTGGGTATGAACATATGAACCGACAAATACCCACAGAACGGTAGTGACTACGGTTCTTCGAACTCTTATTAAGACTAGTGAACTGAGTGAAGTGCAGAGCAGAAGAAATATATCTGCATAGCACTTGTTCGGAAGATTAATGTAACGTACTGCTGCAACTAAAGCATCAAATCCTTCCCGCTTGAAGACATGGAGCACATGATCTCCACTAATAGACACTAGATGTGATAATTTCTACTAGCTCATATATATTCTGTACCTTAACACGAAATGACCGTGTAGTGGCGTACACTAGGCGTATCTCTATGGCTGAGAAAATTCTTATAGCAGGACGTTTACTAGAAAGAAGAGGAAGGTGACCACGGTGGACTGATACCCGACCACAGGGTACGAATAACTAGAGGTTCATTAGTCTGACAAAAAGCTGTTCCTCTCCCGAGAAGTTGAGGTTATATCCTTTAAAGATTCATTATACTGAAGAAAGATAAGTCCGTACCAATGGTTAATAACGGATGACTCAGAAAAAACGGGGCGCTTTTGCTCATTACTTTTGAGGGTGAGCCTAGTAGTCGAAAGAGTTTCTTCTAGACTCAATCGATAGAAAATTGAATTCTCTACAAAACCTACTATTTGAATCTCTGATAGCATTTTTCTGCATGAAGAATCGAAAGCAAGAGAACCGCAGTTCCGGTTCCTTCTGCAGAACCGAGAACCGAACATCCCTACTCGCACTGTCTATTTATTATTTTTTGTTTCGACGGATAGACGAAATAAGAAAAAACATTACATGGTTACAGACAAGATAGAAGAAAATATGAGGTCAGTGTATTTAATCCTAGCTTCGTGCAAGGATTTATTTAATAGGAATTTATATTCTCGCTTTCTTACTATTTCAAGAAACGACCTAAAACAAGTCTGCTGAAGACAATAAATGATTAGTTTGAAAAATTTTCCTAAACTGTGTGCGAAGGAAAAATCTTGCTGTAGGCTTACCGTGATCCCATCACACTTTTAAAACACAAACGGGAACGGGATCTTATTACTGATGTGATCAAGAACGCGATTACAATTATAAGATCGCGATTTTATTTTGTCAAGATCAGCATTTTCTTGTTACACGAGACAAAATTGTGTTGGCAATCAGATCCTAGCAAAAATGAAACGGGAATACCACTAGGTTACCTGTCCGTCATCACACGATAGGTTTTCGCCCGTTGACCTCGCGGCTCTTCTTATCTCGTTACTACGCAGTATTTCTTTAATTTCATGCAAAGGGTTTTCGTAATTTCTCTTCCTTTTTCTACGACCTTTTAACTGGTTAATGTACGTTAATAACGCGCTCTGATATCCCGTTAAAGCGCGCTATTTGTACCATTTAATGCCTTACAACCGGACACAATCTGTTAACGCGTTACAAGAGTATAAAATCTGTGCTCCGTCACAACGCTTGCCACTTTTTTGGATGAATTGTATCACTTTAACACTGTAAACGTTTCTGATTATCAAAAAAACTTCATGGATAGAACTATACTTTTTATTAAAAATGAGAAGATATTTATATGGTGACAAACAAAGAGGACTATTTTTGATTGACTTTTGTTGCTTCCTTGTGGTAAGTTATTTCTGTTGTTAAAATAGAGTACAAAAAATAAACTTGCGGCAAACAGTGTTAGGAATAGACGCATGCGAACCAGAACTTTCCACTAATCGTATGCAGATGGCCTCATGCACAACGCCCTCTTATCACAATACAAAGTATCGAAAAATATCGGGAACTAATTTATCCGCCACGCATCGGGATACAGAAAAATATTGTAATAAATAAATTTATCTAGCTTTATTAAGCTAAAATATATTTGCAATGTTCTTAAGATAATCGCAATGCATATTAGCACTAACGCAATGCTTTTTATTTTACCTCGATAAACATTAGAATTATCGTGGTACTTTATCGGAACAGTATTTTATCCTGATAGAGACCGATAAATTTATTTTCCCGTGATAGTTCTAATGTTTAGCACGATATTTCCTTGACTAGGCAAAATTATCGCCTCTAACCAAGATATTTTATAAAAAAACAACAACTCTTGGGCAGTTCGACAACTCAGCACCATTCAATATTTTGAATGGTGATCAAACGAGAAAAATGCTATCAGAGATTCAAATGGTAGGTTTTGTAGAGAATTTAATTCTCTATCGATTGAGTCTAGAAGGAACTCTTTGGACTACTAGGCTCACACTCAAAAACAATAAACAAAAGTGATCTGTTTTTTCCGAGACACCCGTTTGAGGCTGACATTTACTTTTTTTTTTCTGTTCTTTTCTTCGCTGTATGATTACAAAGCAAAAATTATTCTGTATATATATTTTTATTTTAGATTTCCTGCATTTTTTTTTTCCTGTCGTAATGATGATGTTGTAGAAAAAAACATCGAATAAATTAAGGAGAAACCAATGCATCATCAGAAATAATGGCTACTTCTTCCTCATCAGCATCAACAAAAATTATATTATTAACAGGTGTCACTGGTCAAATTGGTGGCGCAATTGGACGATTAATTGCAACACAAGGTCATACACTCATATTACCTGTACGTGATATACAACGTGGTAAAAATGTTCAACAAGCTCTTATTGCAGAAACCGGAAATTCTAATATTTATTTGGAACAAGTAGATTTAGCTTCTTATAAATCTATTCGTAAATTTGTACAAACTTTTGAATCTAAATATCCAAAATTAGATGTATTGATTAATAATGCAGCTTACACACCATCGGCTAAGAAAACATTAACTGTCGATAATTTAGAGTCAAATTTTGCTATTAATATATTTTCTTATTATTTATTAATGCAAGGTTTACGTTCAAGTTTAAAAAAAGCGTCACCACAAGCAAGAATAGTTAATGTGGCTAGTAATTATGCTGGACATTTAGGTAAGTGCGAGTAGAAAGATGTTTTGATAACAAAAATAAATATAATACAATTTAAATTCATTTTTTATAAGTTATTAATTTTTAGCTATTTTAGTGGGAAAGAAAATCAACAGTTGAATTGCGTTGTTCACATTGCATTGATATTGTGTTAAGGAAGAGAAAGGAATAGATGAATAGAAAAAATAAATAAATAAAAGTAAAACAAGATTAAGCAGTTTGAAAAGAAGACAAAGACCACCATGAACTTAATACTGGTGTTAGATAGTACGTGAGGCTGAAAGGCACGATGTGTGTGTGTGAGAGTTTAAAACAATTCAGATTCACGTAAATTATGTCACGACTCGATCTAGTTCCTTAATGAACTGCATATTATATCCTAGAGACCAAATCTTATATAGGATTTCTATAGCAATCTTATGGGATATCTGCAAGAATCTTATGAATTTCTTAAT